GCCTCCCAACCCGGGTCGAGACCCGCTCCCGCCGCGCCCGAGACTTACGTGTCCCATCGAACCTGTTGGCGATGTTGTCCAGGAAGGTGTTCTGCGGAGCCAGCAAGCCTTTCATCACCGGCATGGCGGCGGCGGCGGCGGCGGCGGCGCACCATCCGCGCCCCCCGCCCCCTCCCCCGCGCCGCCGCCCGCCCGCCCCCCTCCCTCCCCCCCCGCGGGGAGGGTGCGCGCCTGGGCGCCGGGGCGGGGGTCTAGGCGTCGCCGCGCCGCGGCTCGGGCAGCGCGGTGCGCGGCATCTCAGCCCGGGCTAGGCGAGGAGGGCGGCGGGGAGCGGCTCCGCCTGCGCATCTCCCTCGCTCCCTGCTCTCATTGCGCTCCCAGCTAATCCCAGCCGTACAATTAGCACCGAGCGGCGCGGGTGGGGGGAGAGGAGGGATCTAGAGGGATCCCGCCCCAATCCCGCCGCTCGCTCGCTCGCTCGCAGGAGAGGCGCCCGACCCGCCGCTCTTCGAGTGTGTCCCAGGCTGCACACACCTCGTGCAAGGGATGCGGAGAAATCCTGCGCGAGGGGTGCACGCCTTCGCACGCTCGCACGCACCCAGCGTTAACCGCTTAGTCGCTCGCTCGAGTAACCCGCTGGGGCCGTTTGCAAAGACGAGATCCTACAGCAATAGAGAAGGATCAAGCAGCGTCCTTGCGAGGGAGGCACGATCCCTGCGTTCACTTGTGCGGGAGTAAGAGCCTCTTGCTTTGACTCAGTGGGCCTTCCTGCTATGCGGCAGGGGTAGGATCACACCGTAAACAGCCTGGGAGTCCAAACGGCATTTTCCTCCTGGCCAGAAGAGAAGGAGGCTGGTGCTAGGAGGGGCTCTCCAAGGCAGAGCCGCACAAAGAAGGAAAGCGTGAGATCATCACAGCCCCCTTGGAGGGGAGCTCGAAAGATGCCCAACAGTGGCATGGAAACAGCAGGCATTCTCTCAGCTGTTGGGCCCTAACTCACCAAACACTTAGAGCTTTGCCAATTCCTTAGCCTTTAAAATAAAAACTCTTCTTTGGTTTTGCTATAACCCTTCAGGGACAGGATTCCTCTGCTTAGCTGGACCCATCATTTCCTTTTCCTTCCCAGTTGTCACTTTCCCTGCAGTGCTGTGTGGCTTTGTTCACCAACGAGAGACACCTTTCTCGGGGCCAGAAGTTGCTTTTGGAAGCGCTCTCGCTGCTTCTGACACGCACACAATGGACGGCTGTGCGCAGCCACCAGCCGACAGAAAAGGAGGCAAAACGTAAAGGCCTCACTCCCTGTGTCCGCTGCAGCTCTCAGAATCCGCAGCACTGTTGGAAAGTTGGCAAAGAAAGACCCTTCCACAGCACTGAGAGGCAGCTTGAGGGAGTGGGCACTTTTTAAGGAGAACAAGGACCTGCTGCATACCACCTTCCCTGTCATATTTTGGACCCCATGTGATCATTTTTAATTATGAAATTTTGTTGAAATCATGAAACAGAACAAATGATGTTAGAACACACTGCCTCTTGCAATTTAAATGTACAGCAGGCCTTTGAACTTCCCTCCTTCTTCACAGGCACCCCTCCCATCTCCACCCCCAAGATACTTGACAAAGCTGGCATTGAATAGATGGCCTTTTGTTGCCATGCCGTCCAGCTCAATTATTCTCTCCTCCAGCCCAGTCACTGCCCAGTGCGAGGCCACTGGGAAAGCAGATAGATAAGAAGACTCTTCATGCAGGGCAGGGCGTTCTGCATCTCCCTTGGCCGAGGCCAACAAGTCGACCATCAAGTTGACACGATTGTGTCAGAAGGCAGAGCTGAACTTTGGAGATGCAACCTAAGGGGGTTCTAAGCCCAAGAAGAATTGGAACTTCAGCTGAGACACAACCCAGCTCTTATTGTAGGGTTCATCCTCCAAGTATTGAAATGAGAGTGCTTCTGAACATGGGCAGAATTCTTTTTTCCTCAGAATGCAAGGATGGGTTCGATACCCTTGGGGGAGAGATAGGCCACATGCTGGAGGTCCGCAACAACCTCCATGGGGGCACCCTTCTTCTTTCTCTTTCCTGTTTCCATCCCACAGACTACCAGGGGACAGAGAAACTGCTCTTGCCAGAGGCCTGAACTTGCAAAAGGTGCTTCTCTCCATGCATTCACACCCCTGTTCCTTCCTCTGCCCCATCCATTATAGCCCTCTTTCTTCCATCCTTGCCAGACATCTGAAAAGAAGGCTTGGGCTCTTTATTCCCCTTCCACCCTCCGTTTGCTCCCCCATTTAGGATCCTCTCCCCATGCCTTGTCTCCCTCTGAAGCCATCCCCACTGAATAAAATGAGGGTGAAGGCTGCACACATTCTTGTTCAAATGCGACGAAGCGCTAGCCTGAATAAATCCCAGATTTGCGGTGCCATGTGTCTGGTGCGGCTTTCAAGCAAGTTTGATCCGCAGCTCCATTCCTGTTAGAAATTGGAAACTTCTCCCTTTGCAAGAGAGTATCGTGTGTGCATGGAGTTGGTGGGCATGCTAGGAGAAACAGAAGCCTTCTAGGTGGGGGTCATTTAGATTCACGCGGAGCCTCATAGGCACCAGCACCGTAAGGAAGCACACGCACAAAGCGTTATTGTCGTAAAGAGTCTTTGGCACAGCTGGGGTTACGCATTCCAGATGAGGCTTTCTAATGACCAGCCAAGCTGACAACATCTGAGCATCTCTTTTGGAAGATGAAGCCTTAACAGCACACAAAAGAATCGCCCACACAAAGAGATCGCGAACAGCCGGAGCTTCCAGCTTTGTTTGCCAACACCGTCCTCTGGCGGCCGACCAGCGCTAAGTCCGCGTAGTTGCTGAAACGCTGAGGGAGCCGCAAAGCCCCAGTCACCTGGTGAGACATTTGATGGATGGATGGACGGTGGAAACATCTGTTTAATAGATACCCAGAGATGGGATCACGCTTCTAGTTTGCCAGGGCACGCAGCAGCCAATTTCAGAGCAACCAAGGCGATTAAAATGGAAGCTCCCAGGGCGGGAGGAGCACACATATCTGGCCTGAGACAGGTAGCAATGGGGAGAAAGCTCAGGTGGCAATGAGGGAGAAACCTCAGAAGTATGGGATGCTTTGCAGCTGCTGAGGAATTAGAGAGTCTTATTTGAAGAGCCTAACTCTTTTGCCTTATTGACTGCATCTGGTCATAGATTGCACTTTCTTATGGAGCAGGTGGGCAACTGGAGACCTGAAGGCTAACTGTGCCCAGAAAAGTATTTCTGTGTGGACCTCAGCTCATGAGCAGTGGCATGGCAGAACCAAGCCCCACAGGGGAACAGCACCAGCCCTTTTTTCCCACAAGGATGCTGACATCGTTTGCCTCCCTGCTCTAATTCTGCTTCCTTCGGAGTTTAGCAGCAATCCTCAGTGTTTGGGAGGAATGATTTTCTCCAGTGACAATGCAAAGTTTGCACTGTATTTGCAAATGTATTGTGCAAACTTTGCAAAAGTTTACAAAGTATTTTGGACTGGCTTGGTTTTGAATGGGCAAAAGAGACCCATTCGTTCAACTTATTCCTCACAAAGAGCTGCTCCTGATGGAAATGAAAACTTGCCGAATAGACTGGCTGATCCAGATCAGAGCTGGTTTGGGCTAATGCAGTGGCCCAGATGTTTGGGATCCCCTTGGGGTTTCGCCAGGAGGACTATCTGGCTGACCACCTGCATTTTAAAAAGGACCCTGACCCCACTGCTCACAAACTTGAAACTAGCAGTTCTTCTGCTGCTTTCTTTGCAACGGGAAGCCTCACATACGCCCCCTCAACCTCGCCTGCACAAGCAAGGTGCAGAGGAATACCGGGGTAGTAATCAGAGGGAAGCTAAAGGGCTTGTGTTCTTCCCAGAGATGAAGGGGCTCCAGAACCCTCTGCCTCAGCCTCGGCTGGCTTAGAGATGAAACCGTTGGTGAAGCCCATTTTGCTGGGCGTCCTGCTCCATTCAAAACAGCTCAGTGCTTGTGTTACAGCAGGGGTGGAGAGACTCAGGCATATGGACCTCATGCGGCTCCTGCAGGGCTTCCAGCAAGGAGGGCTTTCTTCCTTCCCTGCTACCTGTGCTTTGGGACTGGAGAGGAGCAGGGCCCAGCGTGGGACTTTCTGCAGGTGCCGAGCGCTGCTCCCATCTCAGCACGACTGACCATGTTGGGCTCCACAGGCACGGGAGCAGCTTCACATTTGGCCAGCAGCCACATCATACTCCTTCCAGCTCCATGAAAGGCCTTCTCATTTCCCCAGGAATTGCAGTCTCTGCCATTTTGCACCCCTTTGGTTTACATCTCTGTACTGCTGCTAGGTTTCACTGCGGTTTTATTTTATGTTTTAAAAATACACTGTGTTGGATTGCATATGCTATGTTTTTAACTGAGGTGAACCACCTAGAGTGCATCAGTGACTGGGCAATATAAAAAGGTAGTGAATCATCCTGGCAGGGGATGATGGGACATGTGGTCCAACAAATCCAGAGGGTGGGGGGACTGGGAGCCAGAGTACTGCTACCACTCTGGAATGATGGGGTGAGAGACAAATGCATGGCGTGTAGGGGTTGCAATGTGTATTGGCCATGATGACAAAATTAAACTCCCCTGTGCAGAGGTGGGTGCCAGCGGTGGTGTCCTGCTTGCTTCCTGGGAGACTTTAAGGGAAGAGAATCTTGGACTTTGCTTGACCTCAGAAGGGAATTCCTTGGTTCTTCATGTAACAGCCTATCACACACAGACATGACAAGTTGACTATGAAACACAATAGCTGTTTTATTGGGCAAAGACCAGAAGGGGAGGTGATGAAAGACATTTGAAAAGAGCTATTTACACAAGGGGAGATAATGCACCACTCTGCCTCCAGCACAGCCCTAGCACCTGGCTGGTGCTTCAAAGGCAACCGGCAGCCATGACGAAAGGAAGTGGATCGGCCTTGTTGTGAGGACTCTTCGAAATGGTTTCTTTGCGTGGGCACAGCTCAGAAAATGGCATCTGCAGAAGCACCCGTCTTTGGACCGGATAGCAAGCCCGTTTCCAGTGGGGCCAGGCAACTGCTGGCCAGGCCCAGCCCGGCAGCAGGCGGCACTGTCATTAGCTGGGGGCTGCCCTGCGCTTTCTTCTCATGCTCCAAGGCCGGCTTGCTTGCCCTCCTGCCCATGGTGAGGATCCCAGCAGCCTGGTTGTCCAGGCTGTGCAGGAGGTGGTAGAGCCGGCTCTGGAAGGCTTTGGTGGATGCGGTGCTGCCACGCTTGCCGACGGTCAGGATGCCCGCGGCGTGGTTGCCCATCCCATGCAGCAGGTCAAAAATGCGGCATGAGCAGCTCTTCTGGCGGCAACAGTCCGGCACAACTTGCTTGGCCGTGGCGAAGGAGCACAGCAAGAAAAGCAAGAATACAACGGCAGCTCTCTGGATCTGCAGAGACATCAGGAGGAGCCTTCACTTTAAGACTGAATGTGTGAACACAAAAACGGGTGCAGAACCTCAAGACTGGGAACAATCCTGGCCCCCAACGAACCCCCCAAGGAGCCCTTCTCCTGGGCTCCCCACCTTCCCCCAGCCTCCCGTCATCCATTCAGTGGTTTCACAGCTGCTGTGCAATTTCTCCCATCCTGAAAGACCGACATGCCTCCCCAAGGCTTAATTACTGCCAGTGGTTTTTAGTATTTTGGGCCCCACCTCTTTGCCTGGGCTGTGCCCCATGGCCTTCAGCCTCCCCCCACCTGGAATGCAGCCCCAAGAGCTTCTCTGCAATGGACTTCAGGACTCAGCACCCCTACTTTGCAGCTGGGGGAATCTCAGCCCCATGCTTCCGGAAGAGGAAGAGCAACCGTGCCAGCACTGGGAGTGAGTAGGAATGGTCCAATGCCTTGAAATGCGTATATTTATTTTAATTAGCTCCCTTAATTTGAAGTTGTTTGCCAAGTTTTCAATTAGCATTCTTCTAATTAAAATTTTATTCCCATCTGTGGATACTATCAGACTGAGAATTTTGTAATAACAAGTGGTATTGATTTCGGAGAGCTAGCATGCTGAAAGACTGTTCAGACAGTATGGTTTGACTGGGTTTTCATAAGTGTCCTCCATAATAAAATAAAATATGCTTTTAATTCCAGAATTAAAGATGCTTCAAAAATTCATCCCACAAGCCCTCCTTACCACTCAGGCTGAGGCACTCTGAGCACTTGCGTTTTCAGCATGCTATTGGCTAAACACGATTGACTCTGATCATAATACTGTTCTTTCTAAATCCTATTATTGCTCTCTGACATGTTTTATAGCTACTTCAAGGTTCTGGTCCTCATGTTTTGTAAAGCCTGCCACCCTTGTAGCTCTTGCTTCAATTCACACCCATAGATTTAAATAAGCAACTGATGGCGGGGAACACACGCAAGTCAGCTCCAGATGCCAGTCCTCTGATGCAGAGTGACAGAATGATTTTGCCGGGGACCAATACAGCATGTTTGCTGAACCCTTTCCTCCCGGTGCCACTACTCCCCTGCAACCCCCAGCCTCGCTCATTGCTTTTCAAGGAAAAAAACCGGCCACCCAAGGCTCCAACTCTCGGTTTATCCCTCAACAGTTAGTTTAGCCCTTGGGCCAGAGGTGGACAGCCTGTGTTCCCCAACCTTAAGTGTAGGCCCCTGGGTGCCATGATTCCCCCATCACCTTTATCTGTGCTGTTCTAGCTGTGGCTAACCTCTCCCCATCCCCTCCCTAGACAACCCCCCTGGGGATTGCTCTTTTCTCACTGGCAGCTGGAGAGAAAGCAAGTATGCATGACCTCATGCGGCCCTTGACCTGCCGTCACATGTGGCCCTCAAGGCAGAAAAGGCTGTGCGTATGATATATTATGTCATAAACTCTCTTTGTCTTTCAGGTGCTGCAAGACTCTTCATTGTTTTTGCTGCAACACACCAAATATGGCATCAGTTGCTTGTGCTGGATGGATGGACAGGAGTTGGTTGGCCGGTAGAGCTGTAATTTTGTGCAGATGGTTCTGTTTTGACTCAGAACCATATGACTGGTGCTCAGAACACAGGGTTAACTATTCGTATATATGATATTGCACTATTAGAGGACAGCATTAACTCACATGCAGTAGGGACACTATTAATTCACATGCCTGTGCCATGCCACAAACAAGGAGGGTGATTCCACAAAGCAGAAAGCAAGCAGAGACAGCTGCAGAAGGAAGCATTAACTCACTTTAGATAAATATACATTCAGACCATAACAAAGAGACCACCTTTCTGGATAGGATAAATCCAAATAGGTCAAATCTGTGTCTGGGGCATGGAGAGAAAACAGAGATCTGGGTTTATTACTCTCAGGGTGAAATGCAGTGCATCAGTAAGGGATTCTGCCTGCCAATACTTTAATAATAGCAAATGAAGTTGTTCTGTCAATGCGTGTACACCCCTCCCCCCGCTGTTTTTGTGCTGATCATTAATTTGTCCTTTTTTCTGTTCGTCCCCCATTTATGTTTGCCTTTTGCCAAATCATTGGGTTTGATTTCTGAAGTAGTTCAGGGGCCAACTAGACATGATGTTAAATGCATCTGTGTGCTTGAAGTATAATTTAAAGATAAATAAATGAATAACATCGACTTTTTAAATGTGGGGCAGGGAGCAACGATGTTTGAGATCCAAGCAGGTATGTGAAGGAGTGTGGATTTATTCCCTTCCTCTAGAGGAAAATCCCTTCTCTGAAGTTAGCATGTTCATTCAGAGAAACCGCTTATGATGGGAAAAGCATGTATGTGCTGTCTACTGAACCTCTCCTGAGGGAGCAGTGCTACTTGCGCAGGTGCAGGACAGCAGGTGGGAAGAGACTGGAAGATGGAGAAGCTGCCTGCCCGGAAGCTTGCCAGGCTCATGCCAGCAGAGTTGGCAGGCTGGTAGTGGTGGAGCGTGGGCTTTCTTGTTCCTCCATCCCTTTTATGACTTGCCTCCCATGGCTTGCAATGGGAGCAAAATTATGTACACCAGTTCCAGGGCTGTGGCATCTTTTCTCCCTGTTACAGGAGCATATCCAGGGGATGTTATGAAACCAGTGGGTCTGAAGCCTTCTCTCAGCTCTGGTGTCTCCAAGCTTCACTGCCATGTAGAGGGAGGAATCTGTGGGGCCATAATGCCCAAGGAAGGAGGGGCAACCCTTCCCCACCAGCTGTTCTCTTCTTGGAAACTCTCATCTGCAGGGCAACTAAACTTAGGCAAAGCCTCCCATTAACACCAACAGAAAGATTTTTTTCCAAGGGAATGGAGGGGCACTGGAGCTGGTGGTGAGTGATGCCATCTCTTTCCTCCCTGGCTGCAATTCTCTTCACAATTGCCCTTGCATGGTAATTAATTTGTGCAGGGGGAACCCCTCCATTTGACACCAATGGACACTTAGGAATCTGGAGAATCAAGCTGGAGCCCCTGGAAATATTTTTTAGGTCCAGACCAAGCAGCATCCCAACTTTTCAGCTTGTCTGGCTGGGGAATGTTATTGTAGGCTTTTTCTATCTAAATATGCATCGGATATTTATTTCCTTAAGTTAGTGGTGCTTTGTTTTTTCATTTATTTTTAAAACAGTGATCGATGGTGGTCTTTAAAAAAAGAGAACCCTTGTAGTCTATATGTGTATATTAGATATACAGAACAAGGATTCATGTACACTCAGAATCTCATATCAAATCTGTGCTACATGATCACAGATTAAAAACATGAGGACTATTTGGCTGGAACAGATCGCAGTCCACATAGAGCGACATTCCTTGCAAGGGTTCCAGAAGATGTCAGAATCAGGTGGTCTACAACAATGTACTTCCTGCCCAATCCCAATCATGTAAAAATGTTCAGAATCCTATTTTTACTTATAGTCCCTGCCTATTAATTTCTGCCACAGAACTCCTCAGTGCTATGCATTTTATTCCACCATGATCTCAAGCTGGGATAAACAGATTTGGAGATGGCAATGTATTATTCAGGAGAGTGAAACACTAAGCTGTCAAACCGGTTTCCAGAGTCTATGTCTGAAACAGGTGAATAGGCATCAAGGCAGTGTGTTTGATTCACTGTACAGGTAAAGCAATGCACAGGATGTTGCATTTAAGTGTGAACTAATTAATGCATAGCAAGGGGAAAATATTCTCAGACTTCACACACATATACATACAGGCTCTGATCTGGCTTTGGCTCTTTAAATAATCGCATGGGTATGTTTAAAGTACTCTGTACAGTGCCGATCACCCCACTTCAAAAAGGACATCATGTCACCGGAAAATGTACTGAAAAGAGCACCCTAAAGCTTCAAAGGATCTGAGCATCTTCCCTATGAGTAAAGGTTAGCTAAGCCTCCATTACTTGTACACTTTTATTGGGATAAGTTGTATTGAACTCAATGGAATGTACACCTGAGTTGAATCTGTCTTTTTGCCTATCCTGATTGCACCATAAAATGTTCAGGGCTTTTTAGCACTAAAATAGCCAACTGTGTGAGTGAGCATTATATCATTCTGGATGTGTGTGTGTGAGAGAGGAGGGTTTTATTTTTTTCAGACAATACTAAGCTGCAAGGTCGGGTAGTAAAAGTTATTGGCAGTAGTTTCAAGGCAGACAAAACAAAATAACTTGCAAGATGTGCTACTTCCTCTTAACAAAACAAACAAGCAAGCAAACAGATGAGATCAGATCAATTAAGAGATGATAGATCTGTTATGTGTTATAAGGCATGAGAGAATTATGCATCATACCTCTGTGTTCAGCACTACGATGCTGCACGAGATCCTCAGACAGCAGATAAGGGAGGGCTTCTGAAGACATCTGACTGATTCATTGCTGGGAGACTTTCACCCTAATCCAGAAGCTACTTCTTGTTTGTCTCCTGTTGTATCTTTTCTCTTGTTCAGTTCCTGTCAGGCGCCCTTGCTGTTGTCTCTTGCCCTCCCGTCATCCATGCCTCTTCCAGTGTTGCCTACCCTTCCCATCATCCCCACCCTCAGCTATATCACCTCCCTTTGAAAAGTCCTTTCTGAATCAAGCTGAGTCTACCTTTCTTCTTCCTCCATGACTACTTTAACTCATTCCCCTTCCTCCTGCATTTCTAACATTTGTTTCCCCATCCTGGACTGCTCCTCTATCCTGTCTGTTTTGGATTCAAAGCCCTCTGGGCAGAGGGGCCATGGCTTTTATTTTCCATGCAGCACCCAGTCTCCTTTAGCTGGAGTGAAACATGATGGGCAGAAAGGAGACCATGCACAGCAGGCAAGACCTCTCCTATCCCACCAACGTTGAGCATTCTGCAAAGGCTGTATTTTCCTGGCCCAGCCAGGATCCTGTTAAACAGAAGTGGGGAACTCTAGGCGTCACCAGACTACAAGTCCCATCATTCCTAGACAGCACAGCCAGTGATGAGGGATGATGGGAGCCGCTGTGCAAAACAAATGGAGGTCCGCACATTTCCGTCTCAGACTCTAAAGTTAGTTGTTTTCACCTGCTTTGTGTATGTATAATGAAATTGCGTTGGCCAGGGGCTCCTCTCTGCGGGCAGCTCCCTTCAAGGGCTTTGTATCGCTTTACCCCAAACTGGCACTTCCAAATCCCATTCCACCCCACCCCACCCCACCCCAGCTCTGCCCAGCCAGAGAAGGGCAAGATGGTTACCTGACAGTTGTGTCTCTCCATAGTCTTGGGTATCTTCAAGGCCGTAAGTGAGCTTGTGTCATGACCTCCCGGGCTGAAGTTCTCAGCAAATGCCTCTGGAGGCGGCACATATATAGGGTCAGGCTGTCTGCAGGCCTGGGGTGCCTCGCCCGTTCCCGCACGCAACCCCCCTCCCTATGCTGTGCCAAAAATAACCCCCTCCCCAGAACCCCCGAGGAAAGAGCATCAAAGAAAAGCTGGATGATTCTACCTCCTGTCTCTTAGAGACAAGCCAAATCATTTTCCTGGCTTTGTCCTTTCCCTTCCACTAATGGCCCTGCAGACATCTGAGGAACGGGCAGCTCCTTAGCAGCCACAAAAGCACCTGAAGGCGAGGCTGAGCTAATGAGGTAGGTCACAATCAGCAGCAGGACCCATTAGGCTAATTACTTCAACACAGACCGAGAAGCAAACAGTGCCCTTTTCATTGCCTGGCCCCGGCACGTGGCATAGACATACTTCCCACTGTGGCACATGGTCCTACAGAGATTGAGGGAGGGCCAGTGGTTGGATCTTTGGGAGGCACCCCACCTCGTAAGAGCATCATGCCACTTTCTATTTGGAAGGGGTCACTGAAGTCATCTTGTCTAATTCCTGTGCTGTTCTCGCAAGTACCACATCTCCATCTCATCCATCCTCCCAGCCATAATTCCCAAACACCCAAATGGAGGAGAGATACCCGCAGTGGAAGCGGCAGCAGCTCACTAGGAAGTCAAGTACACTGAGTTTTCTGGGGATGTGAACTGAAGGGAGAGTTTTCCCTGGCCTAGGGATCCATCTGCTACATTTTGCTGTGCCAGGCTCCTGTTAAGAGGCACAGGGTCTTGCCAAAAAACCGAAGGAACTACTCTAACCTGGCGCTCCCACCTGAGCCTCCACTTCATTGGCAGACAGGCCCATGAAGTGTCTTAGTGCCGTTAAGACATATTGACTGAGAAACCACCTTCAAATGGCAAGGCTAACTCTGAGCAGGATTCATTTCTGGAGTGAGGTTGCAGGTGCCTTGGCTATGTGGGGCAGATGGGGCACTGCAAAATGCCCCCGAGGGGTAACTCCGAAAGGGCTTTGACCCCAGGTGCAGACTGCCTAGGAACGATGGCCACCTTGTCTATTGCTATACTGTCCCACAGCTGAAGCCGTCTGGGGGCGGGGGGTGTACAACACTTCATCAAATGCTTACAGGCCTTTTAAAAACAAAATTGTACACTGCTTTTAAGTTGGTTGTTTGGTTAAAAATAGGGGAAGGGAAGACATTTAGAGGGAGCAGGGCCCCTCCAGCTCACCCCATAGGCCATCTGAGTGGGTTGGTGTAGATTGGTGTCCTGCACTAGCCGGGAGTTGGACCCAATGGCCTTCAAGGCCCCTTCCAACTCTACTAATCTATGATTATATTAAATACAATATAAAATATAAATAACAGTAAGAACATCATAAAATCACACTTTTTAAAATTATTTAAAACAACTGAAACAACTAAGTCAAGTCCATACCACTAGGCTGGCTAAAAACAACAGGCACCCTCCCGCCCCCATGCACAATTTGGTGTTGCTAAATGCCTCAGCAAAATGGTCATCTTAAACTGGAGTCAAAAAGAGCAAAGCTAGCACCGAGTGGGTCTTGGTAGGGAGATTATTCCATAACTTAGGGGCTCCCACAGAGAAGCCACTGGCTATTGGCAGCTCTCCTGGGTCCCAGTCTGAGGTCCCACCAACCACGTCCTATCTGGAAGTTGAACCCAGATTTTGCTCCATGGAAAGCAGGTTCTCTTCTACTGACCAACTCATCCCCTCTTCCCTGCTGTTGAAATTACTCCAGAGTAAGCCTCTTGCCTTTATGTTACGCACAGACATTTTATATAAAAAGAATACATTCTACCCAGAGATAAGGGAATATCCTAATGTACTTTCCTTCTTCATGTAGGCTACATTCTAAGCCAGAGAAGTTGGACCCCAGTCCAACAGGTCCAGTCCAGCCCACCTGAGATCCCAGAGGGGCACCTTTCCATCTCCACAAAATTCTTGCTTCCCCCATCCTCCTGTCATTTGTTGGTTGCCCTGCTTTTGCGTATTTCCCATTCTAATAGCTTAAAAAGCTTCCCACTCATAAAGCTAGGCTACTATCAGGAAAAGCTTCAGGCGATAATAGGCTGGCATTCTTGTTATTTCAGCCTCATCATCCCGTGGCTTGGCAAAATTGAGCTTGGCCTCAGGCTGAAAGAGGTTTGGCCTCCTGTTATACGTCCTCACTGGGCATCTTCCTACCATCAAACACACGATTCTGCTACCAAAGCATTTCTTTCTAGAAAGGAAGTGGCATCCCTCTGTAAAATAGCTTTGAAATACTGGTTACAGGGGCTTCATTAAAATCACAGTTTCCTTAAAATCATAGATATTCTAATATTATATCAGGATAGCTATGCCACTTTATAGAAGTGCACTTTCAATAGGTCCTTTGTCAGGATCAATGTGGTGGCAGTTCTTAACAAGTCTGTTGGTTTTTATTTTGTCACACAGATACAAACCTTATTTGAATGAAATGTAGGCAAATACCCACTGTGTGTTGCCACCATTTTGAAGAAACAATGTCTAATTAGCCCAACTGGAGGTTGCTCCATGACACCGGAACACAGACACTAGGAGTTAAACAATCCAAAATTAACCTAATTGCTAATTAATGTAACTGTTGTAATAATCTATGATTTGCCACCATTAAATGTCGGTCGGGTCACAGTGTGCTGATGTCAAGGTGAGGACTGTGTGCATGGCATGCATGTAAATTTCCAGAAGAAACAGAAGGAATGAAAGAGAAGCTCAGCTTTTATTGTCAACCAAACTCGGTCCTTTCCATTCCAAAACAAGTCTCCCTCCCAAACACCCCAAAACAAGCGAGGTAAGGAGATCAATGGAGGTAATCCACATACAGTTTGTGCAAATTCAAAGCTTGGCCAAATGTATATTTGACTTTTCAAAGGTTCTTCACCATCCCACCTCCAAAATTTTGATTCGCTGGGATGACTGATCAGCTAATTCTTTAGGGCTGTGGGTGCAGTTTCAAGGTAATAAATAATGTTAAATATGTCATTGTTTAATACTTAAGGATCAAGTTAAGGATTCTGCAAAGGAGTACTGAGTGCAGTAAGAGCAGGATGTTGATTTATTGCTTGAAACTGTTGGTTTAATTCTAATTATTTATGGCGGTCTTTGACCATAATACGTCTTAAGAGTATTAACTTGGCAGATCCAAAATTTAATGGCCTATTTTTGAAAGGGTGGGGATGGGAATGACACTGCTGGCCATGTTTAGGCAGAAGAGAAAATCCTACAACTTCCAACATGCCCAACTTTGCTGGCTGGGTCATGCTAGGAATGGCATGACTTTTTTTCAGTCTAAACATGCATAGGATTGCAAATCCAGTATTAATCCACAATTGAGAATGCTGTAAAACATTCCAATCATGAGAATTTGAAATGTGCATTATTACAACTGAACTCAAGCTAGGAAAATTTGAGAGCTACCCCAGTTCACTGCAGCTCATAGCTTGAGATGATGGTGATGGAAGCGTTGGCAAGGCTGACTGAGAAACACAGAACTCCTTCGTTTAACCCAGCGGTTCTCACCCATGGGTTCCCACACGCTCTGCATGCCGTAGATTTCCCAGCCTTGCTTTGCACTCATAATCACACTGCCCTCTGCTGGAGATACTGCATCAGCCGGTCCAGTTTGGTGCTCCCTCTGTTCTAGTGGATTGTGTTTTAGGGTGGGGAGACGGGGAGACTGCTCTCAAGGCCAGATCTTTTGTCCCTGCCATTACTGAGGGGTATAAGCCACCCGAGGTTCCACCAGGATCTGCAGTAGATCTAGACCCTGGAACCCTGGGAAATGGCAGGCATGGAGCCAGCTTTTGTGACTTCTTCTGTTCTGGTTAGGAAGGAGGAAGTGCAAGAGCTCAGCTAAGGATATCTCATGTACCTGAAGGCCAGAATGGGTCAGCCGAGTCCTCCTTGACTCCAAAAGATATTTCCTGGTCAGGACTGCCTGCTGGTCCATGGATTAAGGTGGCTTGCTTGTCCTGGCTACAGCTAGCCGCCTTTATTTCACCAGAGCCTCACTGGAATGAAGGGGGAACACCAAAAGAAGGTTCCAGACTCTATTTGTTTCACTGGGCTTTGTGCATGAGTTTAGTTTTGTTCTTTTTTCCCATGGGTCATATACCACAGAGTAAATTCCATCTGCTACTGCCATCCCAAATCTGCTATTTGGAATTATTCCTTTGCCCTGTGGTAAGGGAGTCCCTGGTTGCCACACACACACACACACACAGAAATGGACTGGTCTTCTCTTGTTCCATTCCCAGGCCAGAGCCAATGCTATGCGCTGTGTCTCTTTAAAAAAACAAGCAGACAAGCTGCCATATGCCAAAGTCTCTGCATGGCACCCACTGTGTCCACAAGTGCCCCACTTCCTCGGTCTCGTCCATCCCCAGTCAGCAGAAGCCCGTGTCGCTGGCTCCCTCCGTTTCTGGGATGGGGTCAAGAACACTTCGGCCACGGAAGAGGTCAGGAGAGGCGGCTCCGTTCCGCCCAATACCACATGACTGGGCAGCATTGTGGATCTGCCACAGAGTGTCGAGCGCTTCAGCCTTAGAGTGCTTGAGCAGGTCAGCCTGGCCCTGTGGACAGAGGGGGTCACAAGGCAAGAAAGGTGGGTCAGAGGTCAAGAAAAGAAAGCCCAGTGGTTCCACAGGCAACTTCCATGTCAAAGTCTTCAAGCAGCTATAGAAACAGACAAAAATCAGATCCAAGGTATGCCCTGTTAAATGATGCTAGTTGGGATAGACCCATGGATGCCTTGGAGGCCATCATGCCCTTGACCGGGCAGTGTCCGCGTGTATATCAAAGTCTCCCAACACTTCAGGCCAGGGAGACTCCAGCATTACCGAGACCACGCCAGTTAGCTCAAGAATCAACCAGTCTATCCCTGTCCCAATTCAGCCCCATACCTTCAGATGTACACACTCACAACTGAAAGATCAAATGAAGGAGCACCTGCAAGTGGGGCAGAATCAGGACAGGTGGCCACAGCTCTGCCCCTCTGCTGATTCCCAGGTCTTGGGTGATACGACATGAAGAACCTTGGTAGCCAACGTTTATTCCCTCAACCTTGGCCAATTAGACCTCCATAAGACAAGCAGGCCAGGGACTGTGCTGGGCTTTTTGGACAACTTGGACCCTTTGACCTGGGAGACAGTTTGAGGGAAGCAACACCCTGCTGTGCTCCCCAACTCCATCAGGACTCTGCTGCCCCACCTCCTGTATCACCCTTTACCATGTTACCATGGCTGGTCCCCATCTCCCTCCACCCCCTGTCCTTTCTGGAAATGGATTCTTCCCGCCTTCCCATGGGCAGTAATAGCGGTTCTGATACAACCAAGACAGGAAGGCCAATGTTGAAACAGATGAGCGGTCACCTCCCCACCACCCTCACCAGCAGCCCTGTGCAGCGATCCTCTCTTTTAATGGGTTTTCTGCATTGAGGAGAAAATGGAGACGACAATGAGAAAACACAGGAAGGCTACAAGTGGAAGCCAATGCTGTTTGGACCCCCCTGACCCCCAACAGTACAGTTCTATGAATGAGGCATGGTAAAATAGCCTCCTTTGGAAGTACCCACAGCCCTCCCCCACATGGGATTTAAGGACATTTATTTATTTATTATTGAACTTATATTCCACAATATTAGCCTGAGGGCCCTCTAAATGGATTGCAATAAAATCGGGAAGCTTGATGACTCAGGAAGAGGAAGAACAGGGGTGCTTCTCTCCCTTTCCTGCCACCAAAAGGGCTGCCCATGAGACAAATCCCTCTTCACACAGCCCTTTTGGGGTTTTGTTGTTTTCAAAAGCAATGGCTTCATGATGCACAAGTACATAAAAAGCCAATGGCCACTAGGGGGCAGTGTCCATTCAGCATATGCCCAACTGCGGCTTCAAGCAGGCAAACAGACTCTGGGCCAAGCTAGAGGTGAACGTCTAAAGTGTGAATGCATTTAATATGTCTAGTTGTGGTGGTGGTGGCTTTAATAAATCAGAGTCATGGGAGGATCCAAACAGAATTGGGGCAGTGACCAGGTTAAACTTTTCTCTACCAGCAGTGGTCCCATAAAAATTCCCCCCCACCCCCAACTGCTATGAGAACCAAGAAGGAAGTTTCTACTGCTGCCAACACCTGCTTCCTTCCTGGGAAAAACAGAAGGCTTGGGGCAAGGGGCAGGTGGGGCATGGCAGGGAGGAAAGGGTTAACCTTCCCCAAGGAAAGGGGAGTAGACAAATTCATGAACGATAAAGGCTATTGGTGGGCACCAGCGCCGATTTATTACATTTCTATCCTGCCTTTTTGCTCCAGGCAACCCCACTAGTCTTCTTTATCCCCTCCATTTCTATCCTCTGAGACTGGTCCAAATCACCCCGTGGGCTTCATGGCCAACTGGGCACCAGAAGATGGATCTCCCCAGTCCCAGCCCACCACCCCCACTGCGACACTGCACCGGCTCTTTCCTTGTGAGTTCTCAAGGACACCGGCACTGGCAACCTTGCCTTCCTATTTACCTTGAGGACAGTGATGTTCCAAGCAAAACTCTCTAGAGCTTTCTGCAACTTCCGTCCTTTCAGACCTTCTTTCGCCTCCAAGCGATGCAGCTCCTTGTGAAAACCCATTCCTGGAAAAATGCAGAACCGGGAGGGCACACAGAGAGGGAGGAGAGGCAAAGCAGACAGTATCATAGAACTGTCACCTTCCAACCGAGGTGGCACTTCATCATTGAAGGCTGAACAAATTGTATATGCTCATCCCATTCTGGCCCCCAGCTAAGTGGGTTCTGCTCCTTTAGGTAGGCATTTTAAAAACCCTGAAGAATTTGTTTGAGCAAAGAATGAGATGCATGCAAATCCAAGTCAATGATGCCTTCCTCAAGAATTATCCTCTCCTCAACCTGTATGCATTTCTTTTTCTATCCCTGCCTATGCGTATTCCTCCTGTTCCCCACAAACATTGTCCCACACCAATGATCACAATTTTTCTCTGCTCTTCCTTCATCCCAGCCCCTCACTTAGTTCTTCAATCTGGAGGCGAGGAACCTTGGGCCAGTGAGCCAAATGTAGATCTCCAGGCCTCAGAACCTGGACCTCTGGCCTCTCCTCTTCCCCAGGCTCTTCACCAGCCCTACTCTTGGTTGTTGACATCGTCTACTGCTTCCTGCTCTGCTCCTCCAACCACAAAGCCAGTGGAGGGAAACTTAAGAGACGTTGGAGGCAGCAGGAATCCTTCAGTCCCTGAGCAGAAGTATGGGGCACACCTGTAACTCCGCCCAGTGTTGGCTCTGGCCACACCCACTGCTAGGACACAGGTTCCCCTGGTCCCCAGCTGGTTTTGAAGGAGAAAGGCCTCCTATCCCACCCCCTCTGCAGTCCTTACCAAGCCTTATCTCCAAGCCCCAGAAACTAGAAAAGGGAATGATGCAAAATCTGAACATACATGAAGGAAGGAGGATGAGGCCAGTATAAGAGGTCTAGCAAGAGAGGGCTGAATGTGTCATTCACACATGCAAATCATCACTCAGTGCTGCAATCATCCAGTCCTGGGACATGCACATGTGAATGGAGTTGAATCTCTTTCAAGAAGAAGGGCAGAACCTCCATACATAATATGTGAATGCTAAACATACAGAATGACCCACAAGAGCCAGTGACAACTTATTTATTTACTTATTAAAGGGTTTTTGATCTCACCCATTTATTCGTTTTATTTAAACCATCACCACCCCTTCTATGACCAAGGCCACTGGCAACAATGAATCCACAATGGAAAATGGCCAACCCATATAAAATTACAAACAATGACAGGAGAAAACCATGTAAAAATCAGATGGGAACTCACAAAAAGTAAAAAGGAGCCAGTTTAAAACATAATCAAATTAAAAATGCAGATTCAAAATACAAAGCGACAAAGACCTTTTGTGTGCAAATGGATGCAAGGATAAGGCACCGCAGGTGCGGCTTTATATTTATCAGAGGCAATTCACATGTTCAGTTTGTAGCCATCCAGTGTGGCTAGCCCAAAATCTAACCAGTAACTGAACAGAAGGACTGGAAGAGTCTGACAGAGAGAGCTGCAACCCTAGACCTCTCTGCTCAGAAATCAGCCCTGCTCAATTCTCCCAAGTGGGTGGGATGGCCACCTAAAGAAAACTGGGATCCACGGTGAAATGCACTGTGGGATATCCAGATACCTGTATCCATGGGAGGAGAAAAAGAGGAGGAGGAAAGTCCTCCAGAGCACCCCACCAGCACCTACCTGCTTGTTGCACCTGAATAATTTTGGTGTGAACAGCGTCGGCTGACTCGATTAGTGTCCGGCTTGTCTGGATCATCTGGTGGAGGTGGAGGAAGTAAGAGAGAGGGGCAATGAGTGGCTGGGAAGACAGCACCCAACAAACCATCTCCAGGAGTCTCCTGAACCAACTCTTCCTTTGTACCGCAGCACCTGTAATATGATGCCGACCACCAAAACTTCCACAGATTCAGCTGTGCTTTCCCACTGTGCTCTTTTGACCACCTCCTCCTCCTCCTCATGTCTATATTACCCAGTAGGCAAAGCTCTGTTCACAACAATTGAGCCTTGCAGGCATCAAGTTTTAACAATGGCAGGAAACCTGCCCCATCTGGACTGTACCATGTTTAGATTAGAGGTGTGGGCTCACGCAGTTGAAGGCTTCTCCACACATGCATGCACACACATGGAACCTGTCCATGCAGAAGACTTAATTCTTCACCATGGCATGTGCAGAGGGGGTGGGGCAGGTGTGGAGGAGTGTTCAGTCACATGTGTTCCCCTGTCACCACTGGAAATGGTACAGTCCAAGCATAGGACTGCCACTTTAGCTAAGCATGAGACTTTAATCCTCATAGGCAAGCACAAAGCATACGAACAAAGAACAATAAAAGTATTGCAGGCACTAGATGTTGTACATAATTAAGGCAAAGTTTAAAAAAACCAGCCTAGTAGCTTACAATCTCAAAAAAATTTAAAAAGTGAACTGGCTGGCTGGGTTTGGCTGCCACCATTTTAGTTTCCCACAATGCCCCAGAAAAACATTTCCTCAGGGAAGTTGGGAGAATTAAATTGGTGGCCCCCAGAGTCAGCTGCCTTGCACTAATCAGATGGCAGCATCAGCAGGGGGCCCTGCAAGCAGCTGGGAGTATCATGGGCTGATGCCGTGCCTACCGCTAGCCACTGGAGGATAGAAGAAAAAGGGAATTTTTGCACAAGGCTTAAACCAGGGGTGGGCGACGTGTGGCCTTCCAGATTTTTCAGCCTATTGCTCCCATCAGTCCTTGGTAGCATACGCAAGGAAAAAGAGTTGTTGGCCTAATTATCTGAAAGACCACAAGTGGCTCACCCAGCTGAAGCTGCTCTTGCTGCAGTGAGGCCTGTAATCTGAGAAGCAAGCTTCACGCGTGATACGCAAGTGGCTGGAAGGATGGCTGCTCCATCCTCACATCCGTGCAGTGCAGGCTCCCAGTGGCTCTTTGAAGCCAGGAGTGCTGCATCAATGGGGACTCTGGCTGAGATGCGGGTCCCTGTAGTTTACCGGGATATAAGCAGAACCAGAAAGGGGATCCGCATAACGGAAGCCTGAGCCGCAGGCAGCCCCGGACAGGACCGTGGGGGACCCCCCAACTCCCACTCGCTAGCCGCACTCACAGAGTCGTAGGCCACGAGCACTTTCCTCAGGAGCTCCGGGACAGGCCCCTGGGCCTCCATGGAGGGATACTCCTCGCCCAGGTTGAGGGTGACCGCAGGGGAGCAATCCTTCTCGCTGGGCTGCAGCCACGTGGCCAGCTTTAAGATGCACTGCTTGATGTTGGCTGCTGGCGTTAGGCCACACAGTTCCTTGAAGGAGACCAGGGCATTCTGGGAGAAGAAAGAAGGATAAGGAAAGACAAGTGCATCACGACCCCATCAGGTCCTCTTCTCCATGTTTCTGGCCTCTGCCTTCTCCAACAGGGTCCTCATAACCTCACCCCTGAAGTCTGCAACTTTAGGTTGCCCTTGGGACTTCGCCTCCATTTATTTGGGAGGGACAGGGTCCTAAGTCTGAGCTTCAGACTCTGGAGGTAGAACCTACTCCACACCCACATCCCAAACTCCAAGCCTGGAAGAAGAGCAGCAGCAATTCACACGTACTGCAAATGTGGAGTTGGGGAGATACTCACCACAGAGAATGCATTTGTGAACCCGTGCCAGCCCCCTAGGCTAAGCCTGCAGGACCCTGCTTTGGCGAGTGCCTCTATTCAGCTCAGATCACTTCAGAGGCCAGCCACTTGGACTCAGTCTGAATCAGAGCTTTGCTTTGGAAAATCCAAAGCGTCACCTGTCTTCCTGTTCACTATAATGGAGAAATCAATCAATCATGGAAATTATTTTGTTTTTCAACAGAACTGGATGAAACTGGCAAACAGAGTAGCAATTTCTAAAAGGGTAAATATGCTGCCACATTTCAGACTAATCAGGGTAAAGGTTTTTGTGAACATACCTTTTCAAGACAGAGAATCATTATTATTTTTAAAGGAAATAATAGAAGTCTATGACTTTTCCTTTCTTGGTAGAACTGGATGAAGCCTGCAGTCAAAATTTCCTCTTTTGAGAGGACGGTGCCCATTTAGTTTGCTAAGTATTAAAGGGTGACCACCAGAGGATGCAAAGAAACCCATCAACACGCTGTAGTGAGAGAGGATAGGAGCTCAATGGTGGGAAGCTGGACTTCACTGTACATTTCCTTGGGGAAGGTTCAGGGCACCAGATGTGCTCACTTGCTGTTTCTTAAGGTTGCAGAAGTATGTTTCTCCAGATCAGACAAGCCATGGCAAACCTGGGGATCTATTCTGGTCCTTGGCATATGTGAGTTAGTCCCCTCTTGTCTGAGTCACCTGGAGTAGGGTTAGGGTTACTCTCTACAACAAGGAGTCAAATGAGTTTGCAATTCTATGAACACAACCTGCAGACTCCACAATAGGGTGGCTTTTTCCGAGTCATGGAGATTTCGACCTTTTTTTGCTTTGGTTGCAGGGGAGAGTTGCACAAACATGCGCTTGCACTAATGCACATTGGTGCACGTGTGGATAGCGCTAATGTGCTTTAGCAGAAGAGGAAGAAAATTCTAGCACATCCCTGAAATCATTCCATCCGCGAGTGAATGACAGAATGAAAGATGACTGACAATCTGTGAAACACGAGGGAGGGAGCTCTTCTCGCCTTGCAGGGCACTGCAGCGATGAGCACACCAGCCGATCTATGAAAAGGGATGGCAGAGATGATGATCCCAGCCTGGGGGTGGGTAGATTTAATCGCCTTCCTGTCCCTTAAAACTCCTCAAGCCTCCATGCCTGACTTGAGGAGGGCCATAGTTCAATGGCGGAACCCACGTAAGAGCCGGTGTGTTGTAACGCTTAAGAGTGTTAAGGGCTGGGACGGGGAGTGTGGGGCTGGGACTCAGGCGACTTGGGATCTAGTCCCCAGTTGGCCATGGAGCCAACTGGGTGACTTTGGGCCAGCCACAGGCTCTTGGCCCAAACTACCTCACAGGTTGTTGTGGGGATAAAATGGAGAGTGGGAGGAGGAGAATGCTACAAGCCGCTTTGAGTTCGGTGTAAGAAAAAAGCAAAATATAAATCTGATGAATGAATGAATGCTTTGCAGACAGAAGTTTAATCTCAGGCATCTGGTTTAACAGGTTGCAGGTGATGGGAAGGACTGTTGCTTGGGACCTGGAAAACTGCTGTCAGTCAGAGTAATCAACACTGGACTGGGCAGGCAAATAATCTGATTTGCCAAAAGGTCATTTCCTGTGATTCTCCCCCTTTCCTCTCTTTGCCCTTCCAGGCACTAACATAGCAGATCCTGTTCCTCACTCAAGATGCATCATCAACAGACATAAGCACAGCCAAGCTGTCACAGATCTCTGTCCTGTCACTGGAAATCCAGTTCTGCAAAGGGATCAATGGTCTTTTTCAAGGGATGCCCAGCTGCCCCACCCAATGATAACGCCCAGCTCCTTTGTGCTCACAGACTGGGAAAGGCCGTGAGAGTTAACATAGCTGCCCAAGGGAAATCCTCTCTGTGGTGCAGAGGAGTGCTCAGAGGAGCACCAAGCCTAGAGAGCAGCCCATCTCCCCATCTCCCGGGGGCTTGCAAACCAAAGTGAGGAGTCCTAGCTCCCACTTCCCACTACCTGGGTACCTGCATATTCTCCCGCAGGTCTGTGGCCTCCCGCAGTGGCTGCGTGGCCGTGCGGAACACCTCGTCAATAGCCTTGATTCCAGTGGTCTTGGTGGACGTGTACTCCCGCATGCGCCGTCCCTTGCGCCCAGAGAGCCCCCGCCGGTGCGCTTTGCCTCCGCCCCGCCGGTTGGTGATGGCCACATGCACGAACAGGGTAGCATTGGGGAGGGGCTCACCCGCCAGGGACTGGAGGGGCACGTGGCGGTAGCCCATCTGGAGGCACTCGAAGGGGATCGTGTACTGTGCAATGAACTCGTCCCCAATGTAATCGTCATCAAGCACCATGAAGCGAAGAATGGCCAACTCAGGGAGGTTGACCTGGAACTCCAGGGTCTCCTCGAAGACGGGATTGTCCCCACTCTGCAGCACAGTCTTGGTGCGCTTTTCGGCACAGTCGGCAGGGATGCCGTGCATCTCGGCACAGACGTACGGCTCCACCACGTCGCCCTTGGCCCCGGAACCCTTGGGTTTGGGCAGATTCTGGCCACTGATGACCTTGAGGTGCAGCAGCTGGGCTGAAATGCCGGGCAAGGTGTCCCTGGTGTTTGCGCTGAAGTAGGAGACCTCCTCCCGCATGATGGCCGGCCGGAGGACGTAGCCGCAGCCCCCATTCTGGCGGAACCAGCCGGCATTCAAGTCCATCATGAGGCCAGGAGTCTGGTAGTTCATGGCCACCATCTGGCAGCCACATTTCCAAAAATCCTGGGGGTTCATGTTGCTGGCATCGATGCGCATGGGGCTCGGGTACACCCGAGATAGGAAGCGCTTGTTGTAGGCCACAAAGTCCTCTGGCTCCTCGTTGGCGTAGCGCCCGGCCTCGACCTCACTGAAGGAGCAAACCTCCCAGTAGCACTGGCTCCGCCGCGAGGCCTCAAAGCCCTGGAAAGACACCGTCTGGCACAGGCTCACCAGGTCTGAGAGTTCGCGGCACAAGACCCGCCGGCATCGGGGCTGCTCCCGGCCCTCCTCACTGAGGAGCAGGCCTAGCTCCAAGTTCTCCTCATCATCGGATACATCCCCCTCGCTCGACTGGCAGCTGGGGAGCAGCTTCCGGCTTTTGATAAGGATGCGTTCCTTGAGCCGTTCTGGAGAGGGGAGATAGGCCTCGTTTGGGTTTGGGGGCAACAGGTAGAGCTTGTCCCCAAAGCTCTTCCTCAGGTGTTCAGCCACGAGCCTCTGCTGGGCAACACAGCAGCGCACCGAGAGGCACAAGATGAGAGGAAACTTGGAGGCCTCGAAGGCATGCTCTGCCACGGCGGCCACTACCCGGGAAAAGGCCAGGCGGGTCCCGGCACCCACCACCGGCTCTCCCGACGAGCCGTCGCACACCACGAGTTCCAAGCTGCGGCAGCCCGCCTTGAGGGCTGCCACGTAGCCACCGATGTCCGAGGTGGACCCCCCCCAGAAGCAGCTGTCCTCGGCCAGGCACGCCCCGTGAGCGGAGCTAATGAAGTAATGGGACAGCGGCTGGCTCATGTCCTGGCACACCTTGCGGTGCTGTGGGTCAAATATGTCACAGTCAGGCGAAAGGAGGTAGCGCGTGAAGCCATCGACGGCCAAGTAGCCCTTTTCCCGGCCTTCCTTGGACGGCTCGTATTTGCTCACAATCTCCAGGCACATCTCTTCTGTCACCCCTTCCATGCCCTGCTCTGCCTCTAAGAAGCTCATCAGGTCCTTCAGGCCCATGTACTCCTTATTGCTGGAAAACTGCACCAAGAGGAAAAAAACCTCTGGCCGGGTGCACAACTCACAGTACGCCTCCACAAAAACCGCACAGCTCACCTCCTCCCCAGGACGCTCACTGGCGGCTTTCTGGAGCTCTTTGAACTTCAGTTCAATCGTTGAGGCCTTCATCCCAGGGTTGAGAGCCCGAATGAGCTGCACGGCCCGGGAAACTGGGATCCGGCCTCCCTTCTCCAGGTCCGCCAGGTGAAAGACGGAGGAGATCCAGGAGGTGCGAGGGTTGGGGCGGCCAGCCTCAGGAGCCTCTTCCAAAGTGTGCTTCCCAAAGGAGGCCAAATACCGCAGCCCCATTACCCACGCATTCACCACATCGGCAGAGCTTGCCACCAGGTCCAAGGACTCGTAGTTATCTCCGTAGATGATGGAGAAGGCACACTCATCTGGGAACTGGTCAGAGAGGCCATTGGAACGCAGCACGGGCGTCTTCTTCCCAACCCGCACCTCCCGGACTGACTTGATCTCAATCTTGGCTTTTTCGGAGTCCTTCTTGGAAGGCTCCCAGTGCATGAAGCGCAAGTCCGGGTCCAGCACAAAGAACCGGGAGTACATGCGGGAGTTGGAGCGCACCTTCTTCATCTCACAGCCTTCCAGCATGAAGGAGATGCAGGCCGCCGTACTGCTGAGCTTGCGGCTGCTGGGCATGGTGCTGAAGGAGACCGTCTTTTTCTTCTGCTGGTGCATGGGGCGCTGGCGGGACCCATCCTGTGGGAAGAAGAAAGGAGAAAGCTCTGAGAGGTGTGCCCTGCAGCTGGATTCCCAGGGCCTTTTTTTTAAAAAGGCAGGACAACAGCAATAGAGGAAAGGGTGAAATTGGGGAGAGAAAAGCATCGCTGGGTTCTGAGCTTTGCTCTTCTCTGTGGCTCCCCACAAGCTAGGATGACGCTCTGGGGCCAGGAGAAGTGGGAGAACTGAAGGAAAGTTATGAGGTGCTTGGGAGAAGAAGCAAGCAAAGCCTGGATGAGAAACATCAGGTAAAACCCTTAGAGGAATGGGTTTTCTTTGTTTTACTTTTTCAATGGGTCTTTCATTCAGGCAGAGGGAGTGAAGGACTGACCCGTTTGGGTTTGAAAGAGGAGACCTGGCTTGACCTGAACTCTGAAAAATGTACCCCCCAGCTGCAAGTTCAGGAGATACACAAGACTGAATGGGTTTCAGGAACTCAGCGCCCATTTCCAGCTGCTAAACATAGGTACATCCGACCATTCTGCTGTTTCCTATTCCTTCCATTTTTCACACTTCCTGGCGGTTCAGCTGGAAGGCCAAGTTGGGGAGGGGGCTGGGATATGACAGAGTAAAGAATGGCACAGGAGAGTGGGGAAGGAGGCAAACATGTTGGGAATGGATCAATTTCACTCACTGGGACTGCGTGAGAAATGATCCTAAATCGAGCATGCTGAGAGTTGTATTGGGAAGGCACCAGGCTGGGGGAGGCTATGAGGAGATCTGCTGAATCCCCACACACCATTCTGCAGGCCTCAGCCAATTCCTCCTTAACTCATTCTTCACTCCCTAGTTATACAGAAACTGAACAGGAGAAGGAAAAAGGTCATTCCCCATTAATACTTCCTCAAGCGGAAGGCAAGGGCAAGCATCCATTAAGCCCTTCCTGCTGAACTTGGTGCAATTTACTTCTGAGCCCTTGTACCACCACACCACTGACTTAGAGCCACCTGTGCCCAGCTGAGTGGTACCACTTCCTCCCCTCTCCCTTGCCCCAGCCAGCTAGGAGACAAAAATGGTCCGGCGAAGCAGAAGAAAAAGAACTGCTTCCATTCCATGGCAGGTGTGTTAAGAGATGTCTGTAAAGAGAGAATAGAAACTCCACACATGATCAGAGGCAATCTTATCAGTTACAATCAGATAGGCCATCATGGCTAAGAGAAATGGTTCCAGGTATACGCTCTGATCTCAGAAGCTGAAGATTTGGAGTCGAGGGTGCAAAACTCTGCTCTGCTCCCTTGTTGTCTCACTCTCTGGGTAAGATGAATGAAATCGCCTTGAGCTGGCAAAAGTGGAAGATACAGAAAACAACAAAGCAGGACATAGCGGGGATCCTTCCTAGTCTTGCAACTGGAACTGCCTACAACTCTGGCTGGGGTAGGCTGAAGGTTCTTGTCACTTCTGCAGGCCAACTGGAGGTGCGAGAGGCTCCTTTATCCGGGAAAGGCAGGGAGGATCCTAAGCGAGGTTGAGGCTAAAAGTGACAGGGAGGGGGTGGAGATGAGTCAGCTATCATCCTTGCATAATGCACCCTTTCTACATTTAGGCAATTGATGGGCGAGGGGGGAGGGGCAGCTGATGGTTCCTAACTGATACAAATCCAGGCACATTTGTGAGAAAGATCGCAATTCCAGCGGGGAGGAGAAAGAGATCCATGCGACCTTGGACAGGTGTGGATCTGAGTTTCTGCCCTGATTGGGCAGGTGATCACCACAACAGATCCACTGGAGCTTAAACTCTAGAACAAGTCCTCAGTGCCAGAGCGCTCTAAAGCGATGCACAGAGTACATGCTATCGCCTAGATGGTAGCAACAAGCAATCCACACCTCTGGGTCACAGGACTTTCCCCTGCTCTACTATACCCAGGGTGCACTTACGATCTTAGCTCATGACAAGCTGGGCAGGGACACAGAGCATCAGCCGGCACATGGCCTACATACAGGAGTCCCACCCCTGCCATCCTGAAAAATGGGCAAGGTAGAAAGTGGCAAGAATACAATCTGTGCGAGATTCTGGAAAATCACCAACACTCAGAGTAAACAACACAGTGGCCTGTTTTGTGTGCATTCATGCGGGGGGTTCCTTGCTGTGGGGAGTGTTCTTAGTGTGGCATTGGTAACATCTTTTTTGAATATTCAAGTCGTGGCAGGGATGCACTGCAGGTTGTTCTATGAGTACCCACTGAGGGGTGGGGGGTGTGTGGGGAATGAAAACAAGAGGCACTTCTCTGTCACAAAATATCAGAGAGAAAGTTTGCAAGGAATGGGAGCAAATATTGATTCTGCCCAACCGTTTTCAGGGGGGAAAAAGCTTTTCTTTCCTCAACGGCTCCTTATCTTCTTCAGATATACCAAAAAAAGCATCTTTCCTATGTTTCGTCTGTACTGACATGATGAAAAACTGGGAAATTCCCCCACAGTGGCTTCTTCTTTCCTGCGAACCAGTTAGATGGACATGTGGCCTGACCTGGTGTAATGATTTCTGAAGCACTTGGGTTCCTTCACAAGGAAGGGGTGCAGCCCAGGGGAAGAGCACCAGCTTTGCATGCAAAGGGTTCCTGGCTCAGTCCCCAGCTGCTCCAGATAACGTGGGTCCCATCTGGAATCCCAGTCAGGGTACAGATAAACCTGAGCCAGACGATGATCCAATCTGGTTTAAACCTGCCTTCCTATGGCAAAGGACAGTTCAGGTATACAAACTCGTGTCCCTCCACCAATGTTTTGGTGGTATCACTCCCAGAATCCCTGGTCTTTAGGAATGCTGGCTGGGTCTCATGGGAGTTATAATCCAAAGCACCTGGGAGGGCCAGGTTGCTTACCTTGGTGTAGGTCATGGCAATGGAAAAGCCCACGCTAAGGCCCCGGCTTTCGCACTCGCACCTTCCTTCCACTGAAAAAGACTCTCGCTTATAGTAAAGCTGACCAATGAGGCATGTACTGCCCTGACATTTTAAAAGACAGCTTACAGAGGAGCACTGGAAAGTAAGAGCCATTAATTGTGCAGAATCCCCAAGCTGGGAAGTATCAGATTCTGGAACTAACAGGGGGTGAGTATCTTTGCCATTACAACCTGTTGCTGAGCTGCCCAAAGGCATGTGGTTGACTAATGCTAGAAGAAAGCAAATGCTGAGCAGGACAATGGATGCTGCGTCTGATCCCGCAGGATAATTTTCCTGTCCCAGAAGCATGCAAAATTGCGCAGATCCTTTGTCAGGCAGAACAGAAAGATTAGCTAAGTTCTCAACTGGTTACAAATGCAACTGATTCCAAAAGCAGAGGACAGCCTTCCCCAACCTGGTGCCCTCCAGATGTTGGACTACAATGCCAGCCTCTTCCAGCTAGCAAAGCTCTTAACCATTATGGCTGGGGTATGCCAGGAGAGGAGAGAAGTGGCCTAATAGGGGTAGGCACAATCCACCAGGAAAGCGAAACTTTCCTTTCAATGGGGCTGGTATGAAAGTTTGTCCCCATGGATTGCACCTCCAAAGCACTTGACATTCAGACAGGAGCCTGTGTTGAGTAGCAGCAAGCCAAAAAGTGCATGAACATCGCTGGAATTCAAGGTCTCTGTCTGAGTACCTCTCACACAAGGTTATGAAAACTTACAGAGAGGAGATGCTGAGGGTTTATCAAGTTAAGGGGGGGGGGGGATGAGCCCAGCTATGGCAGAAAGAGCTACATCTGTTCCATGCGCAGCCCTCTTCTCTCTCCCCATGATTCCCTTTACTGCTCCTAACTAAAGGCCTCCGTTTTTTCTTATCCTCGGGTGCCGTAACTCTGCATTTGGTGGCAACCAGAAACGAGAAAGCTGCTCATACATTTGCACTTTGAAGCAAGCTTTTGGTTTTGGCTAAGCTGTCCAACGGATCAACTGCAAGCCATTAGCTGTCCTTGAAAAAAAAACCTTTGAACCTTTTCAAGTCCTTTCTGTTTGCCCAGGCATTTTATGTCTACCAGGCTATACATGTATTAGCTACTGTCTTTCAATGCTGCTTTCTGATGACACTTTATTAATTTCTACTGCACAGAATGCAGGGGTGGCTCCAATCACAGGTGTTGACTTGCCATTGTATTCCTGCTTCCCTGCCTACCGTATCTTTCAAAAATAAAAATTCCACCTTTGCCGGGATGCTACCAGCTTCTTTGCAGTGACCAGCTGCCACTGCATTGGAGTTGCTAGCACTGTGGCACCTTCAGATTCACAGCTGTGCATGTGCAAGATCCCCCTGGAACGGAACGGCTCAGGATCTGCCTGGGGCCCTGTGCCAGGGTCGGCTAGCTCCCCTCATCAGCCAGGAAGCATTAGGAAAAGCCTTCCATCCACACCAGTGGGGCCTTCTGGGCAATCCTTTCCTCCCAGAGGCAGCCTGAGCAGCTCCATTCCTGGTGTGCCGTTTAATCTTTGAAAATGTATATGTGAACTGGGTTTGCGCATGATTTGGGGTTTGTCTGTGTATAGTCTGGGATTTCTGTGTTTGTGGCCTGGTCTGCATAGGGTCTGGGGTGTGGCCTGGTTAGAGGTTTGCAGGTATGGAGGGGGAGTCCCTGTATATGTGCACCCAAGGGTTGCTTTTCTGCTTAGCTTTAAGAAAATTCCATCTTATTTGCACTGTTGTTGTTGTTGTTACACTGGGTGGAGTCTCCTGTCCTACTCAGCATCCTTAAATCACCTGATGCTCTGTATAACGGGGGCTGTTACTCGAAGAGAGGAATGTGAGGCTGAAGGAGCACTTTTGTGTGGCTGCGTGAATCCCTAGCCCTCTGCATCTTTCTGAGTCACGGGCTGCCAGCTCTTGGGATTCAAAGACTGTTCTGTCTCTGCTAAGCTCCTGACTCTGCCCCACCCCTCAGACTGGTCACCAGCCTTCCTTGATTCAGTTTTGGTTATATTTATTGCAAGCTGTCCCGGGCCTTTTATCGATAACCAAGTTAGAGGTGCAGAAGCTCAGGCCCAGAGGCCAAACCTGACTCCTGAATTCCAAG